ATATATATATATAACTGTACAGGTTTATGTGGTAGTCCTGTCTAGCCTCGTCACTACTTCGCCGAGGTTAGGCTAGGCATTTACCAGCACATGGGGTCGGTTGTGCTGATACTACACTCTGTGCTCTTTTGCACAGACCCAGGTCCCGGACAGCAGCAATAGCTCGGGAGCCAGCCGTCAGTCCACCGAGACTCCGAGGTAGCCTTGCACGTGTCCGCAGGCCCTGCGTCTCCTCCATCGTATATTTCATTCTGTTATCTCATGTTTTCGAGACGAACAGTGTTATATTTCTTTCAAACGATTGTATTTAGTACTCTTAGTAGTCCGTGGATGATGTAACACCAGATCTTGGGTAGAGGCACATGTTGAATTCCGCATTATTGTGCAGCTTATTTAATTTAAGTCTTCCGCTTTAATTTCATATTCCGCTGTCATTTAAATATTTAACGCTTCTTGTTATGATAGATAAAAGGATTTAGAATGAAATAGGTAGGAGTTTATGATTTTTGGCTTGCCTAACTTCTACGAGTAGGCGCCATCACGACCCCCGAGGGTGGAGAAATCCGGGTCGTGATAGCTTGATATTGCGCTTGGTCCGTAAGGGGCCCCTCCAGGAGTCTGCACACCCCCAGTGAGCGCGGTATCCATTGTGATGTGAGATATAGCCCGAGGGGCTGGTATGGTTCTATGTGATTGCCCGAGGGGCTGGTACTGTTCTGAGATATTGCCCGAGGGGTGGATTTGTTGACATTGTGCCCGAGGGGCGAACCTTATGTGCTTATCTTTCTTATTTGCCTGTCAGTTACCTGTTTGATTGTGTATTTGTGCCCGAGGGGCGAATTTTTGTGCTTATCTGCACTAGTTGTTCTGCATTCATTTGCACAACTGTTGAAAAAAGTCATTTTCAAAGAAGTTTAAACTGAGCTACAATGGTTTAAGGGATTTTACAGCTTCATTGCTTTCTTACTGGTTTTTGAACTGCTTCTATACAGCATGTTGATGCTCTTTTTTCGTGATTTCTTACCATTCAGACTTTAGTTATGATTATTACTCACTGAGTTGGCGGTACTCATTTTACTCCCTGCACCTTGTGTGCAGATTCAGGTATTTTCTGAGCTTGGTGGCAGTTGTTAGTGGAGTTAGCAAGGTAGTTGCCGACGTCCGCAGCACTGCTTTTCTCTCTCTTCATTCTATTAGATTGTACTGAGTACACTTTAGACCTTGTCAGTTGTATTTAGACTTAGTAAATGCTCATGACTAGTGACACCCCGGTTTGGGCTGCGTTTGGGTTGTACTTCCGCATTGTTATGATATTATCCGCTGTTTAGCATTATTAAATCATGTTTTAGCCTGTTGTATTGCTGTTTAGCTGTTTAACTTCGAATTGGAAATGTGTCGGCTGGCCTTTGTCTTCACGAGAGGCGCCATCACGACCGGGTCTGGGTTTAGGGTCGTGACATACTGATACTACACTTCTGCACATTATGTGCAGATGTTCGGTTGCTATTGTTGTTGTGCTCGATGGTTGCGGGACTTGAAGATGTACAGGCATCCCTGTTGTAGCTGCCTCCTACGTTTGGGGTAGCCATAGCTTATAAAACTCTGTTTATGTACTTTTCAAACATACTATGTATTTCTTTCATTTTCGATTTGTAAACTCTATTCTTAAAAGCTCATGATTTATACTACCAGTCCTTGGGATGTATATAGAATTCAGTAAAGTTATTTTTGTTTAATCGACTTAATAAGATTATTGAAACTGGATAGCTTTAATTGGCTTACCCTGCGGAATAGGTTAGGTGCCATCACGACTGATGGATTTTGGGTCGTGCAGATTAGACGTGATTGATTAAATATCACGCATGCTAAAATTAATTTTCCCAATGTTGGGACCAAAAGCGGTTCTCACATTTGTAAAACGTACGTGAAGTGTGACTGACATTAAGAAGAACACTCTACTCGGAAACACGGACACAAAAACCAATTAAAGGACATCTTATAGCCTTTTGGCCAAGTTTCTAAAATTAACTTATTTTTTAAAAAATACTTTTTGTCAGAAATAGTTTATATTTGATTAATTAATTAAAAAAAATACTTTTAAGCCGAAATTAGTATTTGACCAAGCGTTTAAAAAGTGTTTTCAGATTTTCGACCGATTTCGGTCGGTATTTCTAGACGGTTTTAGGCAGTTTTCTAGTAGTAGTATTTTATATTTTATATGATAGTCTTTCCTTTTTATTCTATTAAAATAATCACCTTTTTATATCATAAAAAAGTTCTACAGCATGTTTCAAAACACAATATTGAAAGTACTTTTACTATGCAATAATATTTTTTATGTTTTCTAAACTTCGTGCTTCGTCAAAATGGTATATAAAATGAAACGGAGAGTAGTAATTTTCGAAATTACCTATCTGATTTTTAAGAATCCGTTTCTACAATGTGTGAGCTCCGTTTGGGCATTCGGCAAAGTCAAGTACATTAGCCAGCCAACATGAAGGATTTAAAAGAGAAAGAAGAATTAATCTAAATAGTTGTTCTTCCAATCGTTTAAATAAAAATAATCGACATACATATGTACGTACGTACATACATACATATATATATATATATATATGTATATATATATATATATATATATATATATATATATTTGTGTATATATACATTTTGTATGTTATATATAAAAATTATATACACTTTTTTCGGTACCAAATATAAATAGTTTCTGGCGTGGGCTAAAAGTGAAAAAAACCCAAGGATCTTTACACAAATAGCCAGCTAGATTTACCGTATATTTTTTCTAGCCGAATTACGAAAATTATATACTGATTATATACCGTCCCAAATCCTTAAGGATGTTGAAATTGAATAGAAGAAATCATAAACTTGTTGATGTTGAAATTGAATAGAAGAAATTATAAAATTGTTTAGGAGAAGGAAGATAGAGATTAAAGTACTTACTATCGCAACAGAGTCTCGTGCTGCTATAGCTATAACATCTGCACAAGAAACAATTCCAGGACATAATTTCTCTACTTGAGACTTCATAGTATCAATCAAATCAAAACCTCTCAATGAATTCGAATTTGGTTTTGCTGTCTTCTCTCCAGTGAAATCCGAAGTATCATCCAGTAGTATCGATCCATCACATCCCTGTCAAAAATAGATATTCCTACTTTTTAATTCTTAACCCTTTTTTACTTGGTAAATCTTCATTCATAAATAATTAAGATGATATTTTCAGTGTCATATGAATATTAGCCATGATAGTCTGTATAAAAAGAAAATATCGTTGCAACAGGCCAGCTCACTCGTATAGTCTTATTAATTCTCTGCTTCTACATAATTCTTATTATTTTTGGTTAAACAAGACGAATGTGCTGTGATAAGTATCAAATGACCCCAATATTTCAAAATAAATAAATAACATATGAAATGATAATCCTACTTGGGCAAGATAGAAACAAATTCATACTTCGTACATCCAGTGCATTAGTCTCATATGTTACTACTAGTTTTAGCTCACGTGTAAAAAATCCCTACTGTAACTTCTACAAATGCATGTGACAGCCCTTGGTAATTCCTTCTTTTCCTATAATTTAATTATAGAATATAATGTGGAAAAATGCAATTCACACATAAATTGGGCCGAATTTAACGAAATTTTCTTATATTCTGAAATAGTTCGTTAATTCAGGTCTGCACATACTAGTTTAAATATAATAAATTGAATATTGAAACAATCTATGTAACAGATAATCTGCGCATGCACAAGAAATATACAAAAGCAAACCAAAAGCCAAAATATTAGAGAGAAACATGCATTAACAAAGCAATCGTGGAAATGAAGACGGAGCAAAGAGGCCCCCATTCGACGCTCTTTCGCCACAGCATTTGTCACTGTGTTTTTAATTGTATAAATAGCTTTTGGACAAGATTTCTCATAGTAGTCCGAAGACAATTGTGCCGAAGAGAGTCTAATTAGTGAAAACACTAACAAAGACAAGTAGAAACTACTATCGAGTCGCGAATAAAAGGCCATCTTAGGAAGAATATTGAAGTATAAACAAGACTTTAGAATGAGATTGATGATTAGCAAATTAATTTGCTGCATTTTATAGATGCTAATTTTTGGCTGAGTGTTTGACATATCCACTTATGCAGTAGGTCGAAGTTCACTCTAGATTGTTGATGATCATCTTTTCGTTTTTTAAAATAATTGTTGGGGTAAAAAAAGTGAAGATTCTCTAGAAGGACAAGGTAGCATATTCTTTCTTACTATGTAAAAGATTGAATTACAAAACAGAACCTATTTTAGGATCTCAAATATTATAGAACCAACAACGTCTATAGGAAGATCAAAAGGTTATAGTTTTAGAGCTTTCGGATTCAAGTCTTGTACTTTGGCGCTTTTTTTTTACTAGGACTTACTTAACGTGAATCTGAATTTGTCGGACGAGTAAAATTTGAATATAAGATTCCTAGAAAAAAGAAAGGTTGTAACTCCACCATTCACCATATTGGTGTAAAGTTTTATTTCAATCAAAGGCTCACTCCTCTTTTACTTATTACCTTTGACTATTCATCAAAAGTAACTTTTAAAAGATAAAAGACATAAAAAAATAAAGTCTAAAGCTATATAGTTGGGGTGTTCGTGTTTCACATTTGACATGAGCCAAGAAGTAGATAGATTGATGGGTTGGGTTAATTTCCACTCAGATAAAGAACTATTATGGATAAAAAAATTAGGTGACTAGTGTGAACAAGTATTTGTTGAAGAATCTGATAATTAGTCAGACGTTTTTCTATATGCATTGAGGCATACAAGTCAAATTAACGATCCACCATATAAATAAAATATATCTAGTGTAGATATAATATATCTTTATTTGTGTGTCTTTGGAAGGACTCCTAACTTGAGAAACTTCTTCCTAATCGAGTGATATGAAAGTGGCTCGACTATAAGGCCAGTAAAGAAATTGCTCGGGCCTCAATTTTTTTGCGGTTCCGTTTTTTTCCTTAAAGATATATTGTATATTTATTATTAAAAAAATATGTGTACATTTAAATTTAAAAAGAATTTTTGGAGCAAAAGTACAATAACTTTAGTGTGAGGATTGTTGTACTAATTAGAGAATGGAATAATTTTGATGAATTATTTCATTACATGTGTAGGATAACTATTTTTTTATCATTTATATCCTAACAACTAATATGGGCCCACATTATTATTTATATATTTACCTTTTTCATTCTCTCTTTTACTATTCTTATTCTCAACATTGAAAAGAGTCTCAAACGGCAACTTACCGCGACTTACAAATTGTCTTCTTCAAAGCATTACGACAAGCAATCATTATATTGAATGCAATGAAGCACTTTTCGATATCATTGTATCAATTTATCTTGCTCTATAGTTTCTTACCCTTTAATTTCTGCTACTATTTATTGTTTCTTGTACTTCAATTATCTTATTTATCTGTGATAGCTACTATTCCTTTTTAGGCTGCTTTATCATGATTTATTTGCTTTCGTTATTTTACTTTTCATACTGCATTGAAGTGATTGTCCTTTTTTAACTTTTGTTTTGCCATGCTTTTTCTTGAGCCGAGGGTCTTTCTGAAACCATCTCTCTACCTCCCAAAGTAGAGGTAAGGTTTGCGTACAAACTACCTGCTCCCGAGACCCCGCTTTGTGGGTTTTCAATGGGTATGTTGTTGTTGTTAGTATACTGTATTTGTAATATAATTCTGAAAATATAAATGAATATAAACAGAAATGAACATAAACAGAAATGACAGAAAACCAATTCGAGCTCACTGAATTCACAATGTTTCCTTAAGGAATTTAATCCCCTTCTAGTACCCAAGGTTATGGATTATTTCCTCCCAGGATAGAACGAATTACACACTGGTCTAGTGGTACTTCAAACTCAGTGTTTCAGCGAACACAAAGTTCGGTACCAAATCACACTTACTTTTGCTTTGTTTGATGCTAAAAGTATGCAGAAGAAGGAGAGAAAACTCAGAAAATCGTAGTGAAATTCTGAGCAGAATAGTATTGTATTTATAGCCAAAGTTGGGCTGAAATCTGAAGAGGTGCAACTCTTCAGAATGGCTGTTTATGCAAAACGGCCATAGCATAAATGCCATTACATAAATGGCCATTTACTCAACAATAAAGAGGGAAAATAAAGAGGAAAAATTGAAGAGGGTAGTTACTTTTCTGTTACCAAAACAGAAAAACAGATTAGATTTAACGGAAAAGGACCTAAACTACCCCTATCGTTTACTAAATGGTTTATAGATGTCCCCCGTCCACCTATTCGTCCAAAAAAGCACAGGACGTTAATTATATTAACAAAATTACCCCTGCAACTAATTGCAAAACCTGTGGGTCTGCTATTTAATGAGGTGGCATATTTTTATTGGGCCACGTGGCATATTATAAACCATTTAATATATTCGGATATAATACATACCCGCCCCGCTATTTGACTCGCCCAAATCAATTAAGTCTTCATCTTTTTCATTCTGACCTTCACAGCTCCAAACCCTTCCAACTTCTCCATCGGCAAACAACCAGAAATCAACCATGGGAAAGGTTTACTGATCACTAGCTCGTGCGGGAAAGTGAGAGGGAAAACCCTGAAGTAGCAAACTAAGACAAGAAGAAGAAGCCCCATGGGTGTGCTCAGAAGCGGATGAAGTACAACTGCCGCATCATCACTGTAGTTGAGATTTCATTATGTTTTTTAAATTTTAGTTACAGCTTTGATAGGAAAGACTAGTTTACAACTGGTATTTGTAGATGGACCAGTGAGATGTTCTGCAAGAAATCAATTGAATTTTAGCCAGGATATCTTTTATTGTTCCTTACCAAAATTGTTTCATATGCTCAATATTCACTTGCAAAATTTGTGGGTGAATGTATTGTGTTGTGGCGAAAGAAACTAATGAATTAAGAATCCCTTTCTTGATTGAAATATTGCTTGTGTGCTAGCCTTCTGCAAATGTCCCAAAATAAAAATTAAACAGAAAAAGCAAATAATGGTGCCACAATTACTAGTACAAAAGGCAAATTTCTGCTAGATCTATTTGAATAAATTGAAGAACAGAAGACAAAAAAAGTACCTCTGTGCTAAAGAAATGGATGAGAGGAGATGAAGGAGAAGAGTATAAATTAATTCGGGGAAGAAATTAATTTGGGCGGGTCAAATATACTATATTCGGATATGCTAATTGAAGCAAAAAGCCACGTGGCCGAATAAAACAGTATCAACGCATCAAAAGTGGGGCTCACCTGCTTTGCCGTTAAACTTAGGGATAATTTTATTAATAAAAATAATGTGGTGTGCATTTTTGGACTGATAGGTGGATATAGTGTGGTTTTTGGACTGATAGATGGACGGAGGGTAAATGTAAACCATTTACCAAACAATAGGGATAGTGTTGACCCTTTTTCGTAGATTTAATATTAATATTCTGTTATTAAAACAAATATTTAATAACATTTCTGTTAATATTTTACTATTAACAAATAAATTTGGTCCAAAAAGTTAATCAATCAATCGATCATTTGACTAAATCCGAATCCAAATCCGAAGCCGAAGCCGAGCCGAGCGAGCGACGACGAGGACGGCGCGAGACTTGCCTTCTTCTCAACTCTTTAAGAGCTAGAAGAAGAGAAATTGCTTATATACCCATAAAAAACCTCTTCCTCTTCCAATATGGGACAATGTCCATTTGCCAAGGGAGGAAACTTAAAATTTCACTCAAAATTTCATTTCCCTCCATTTCCCATTCACCCTCCTTTAAATATTTATATATTACTTAAATACATAAAAAAACCAACAATCCCCCACATGAATGGGGAATGGCTATATCACGGAAGTATGCATGAAAAACTGTGTGATTCGCAAGCAAGGATTAATTGCATCTGGATAAGTAGGTTTCCCTTTGAACTTTCCGTAGTGAACTTATTCGGATATACTCGATCAATCAGTAGATTTGATATCTTTGAACCGTCGAACTTTGGTGTATACCTTGACAACCACATGTCACACAACCAACCCTTAACCGTCTTTGGTTCTCATTGTTGTGTTCGTTTCAGCCATGAACACCGCCTGGTTTCATAAGTGCGTAGAGAACTGGCCTTACGAAGTTCTCCTTGAAGCGGCTAACACTTCAGACTTACATAGGTGATTCCTAAATGTGTCATCCCGTAGATACACTATTTGATATACCCCGTATCAAATTTAGAAATCATTAAAAAGCCTTAATGCTTTATCCTTGGTACTGAACATTGTCTCATCACAAGAATGGACCAAAAGTTTAGTTGACAATGTTGAACCGCCATTAATGACTTTGTTTGATCTCCTTGAACCTAGATCTTGGGATCTCCAGTCTTCTAGGTAGAGTTACAGCCACTATGACTTGTTCTCGGCCACAGTCACATTCCCCTTGATGACTTCTCAACTACCTCTCTAGTTAGGCCTTTTGTAAGTGGATCCGACACATTATCACTTGACTTTACATAGTCAATCGTGATAATTCCTCTAGAGAGTAATTGTCTAACGGTTTTATGTCTTCGTCGTATATGACGAGATTTACCGTTATACATAACGCTCCCAGCCCTTCACCGCTTGACTATCGCAATGTATGTATATTGGTGCCAACAGTTTGGGCCAAAATGGAATATCTTCCAAGAAATTCCGGAGCCATTCAGCTTCTTCACCGGCTTTATCCAAGGCTATGAATTCAGCCTCCATTGTAAAGCGGGCAATACAAGTTTGTTTGGACGACTTCCAAGATACCGCTGCTCGACCAATAGTGAATACATATCCACTTGTGGACTTGGAATCAGTTGATCCGGTGATCCAATTTGCATCACAGTATCCCCCAATGACCGCAGGATATTTACTGTAGTGCAAAGCAAAGTCTTGGGTATGTACTAAATACCCCAAAACTCATTTCATGGCCATCCAATGAGATTGACCTGGATTGCTCGTATATCGACTTAATTTACTTATAGCACAAGCTATATCTGGTCGTGTACAATTCATGATGTACATTAAGCAACCCAACACACGAGCATAATCCA